CTCTTCCCCAATTCAATCCCAGCACCTAAATTTACAAAACTATCCTCAAACCATTTCTCATCTTCTTCCATTCTTTTCACAGCTTCCCTAAACACCCTCCCTCCTCCACCACCACCCCACCACTTCTATCGTCAACTCCGATTTTTATAGCTTTAAGCCTATGCTCAAGCACGTCAAATCTCTGCTCCATACTAAACCTAACATGATGAACATCCGCTAGTACATGAGCTTGCATTGTAACTTGCATGAACCTCGCTACTCTTTTCTCCAGCCTCTCCATTTTCCTAGCCAACTGTAGGTTCCTGTTATCAAGGCATAATATAAATTAAGTAATTTCTAACAGATTCGCACAATTCAATAACCCTAATTAGAGCAGGAAGAGGTTCAATTCACTGTAATTAGAGTCGAATGAGAAGGTGACACCTGTACATGTTCCAACGGCCGGAGTGGATAACTTTTCCGGCGAGTTCGTAACCATCTCGGAGAAGTTTGGAGAAATCGTCGATCTGAGTTTGACGTATCTGTGGAAGTTCAACACCGGTTTGTTTGATTTCTTGGATGATTGGAAGGAGACCATTGATGCTGTCGATGAGATTCTCGGCGCTTGAACGGCATAAAGTGGATTTTTTAACTATTAGCAGAAGGTTTTTTATGAGTTCGGTGGTGATTTCGCCGACGAAAAAGTCCGTCACCGCCATGTTTGGGGACTTCAAACTGATTTTACATTCTGCTTTAAGAAGTTGAAGTTTTGAGTGATGTTATTATGCTACTGGAGCACTATGTTATATGACAAATTTAACCCTCCCAAATTTTTTTTCCAGTTATATATTTTGTGTAATTACAAAAACTATAAATAAAGTAAAATATCAAAAATGGTGTCTGAGAAAGGTAAAGAATACATAGATCTAACTAGTACTTCGTAGAGTAAAAGAAGTTTTTTTGAAGATTTTCCGCTCAAATATAACAAATTTAAATATAAAGAAGAAAATATTAAAAAACATATAACAACAGCTAATAAGGAAAATGTAAAGTCAAAACAATATATATACTCCTATATGACAAGAAAAATAAAAATAAAATAAAGGGTGAAAGATATTAAAAACAAGAACTACTCCTATAAGAATATGTTAAGCCCTTCTTGTTTTGTTTAATAAACGTACTTTAAATTAAACAATATAAGAAAAACAACAATTGTTGATTGATTTCACATAAAATGATGAACTCTCACTCACTCAGTACTAGGGAGGATTTATTTGTTTATGTTTGATTTGTTATAACAATAAATAAAAATAATAATTTTACTGTATTATTTTTAATTATTATAAGTTATTTAAATGATGGAAATGAATTGAAACTGAGTAGTACTTAATAATAAATGTGAAATAGATATGAAATAGTAAATTAGCTTTTGATTATTCAAATTAAACAAGTATAACTGAAAATTTATTTTTAATATAATGAATAAATAAAAGTGATCGAAAGAATATTTAATCTATCTTAACAATTAACATAATTAATGCAGCCGAGTTGGTTACCAAAGTCTGATAATGACCATTCTGTTAAATTTCTTAAGAATGTTTTTGGACTAATCCATTTTAATTATACTTTCTTTTGTTATATATATATATGTGTGTTGCTTCATGGTGTAAGGAACAAGATTAGTACATCTTACCTAAAAATCAACTTATAATAAAGTCTCTAAACCTACTACCCAATCACAACAAGTTAAATTAAATTACAAATTCATGTAGATATTTTGTCGCTCTCGAATAACTCCCTGTTCCACTTATTTTATCCGATCACATTTCATGAGAGTTAAACGGCATCATATCATCAACTTTAGCATAATTGAGTTCAGTCCTAGTCTATGAGCACAATATGACCTCCAAGACTTGAGCATAATGGAGTCTAGTCCACCAGAAGAAAACAAGTAAACAAGCCAGTTGTAGTATAAAGTTGAAAAAAAATCAGAAATTAAAGAAGGTTCTCATGGGGTGGGGGGTGGGGGAGGGAGGGGGGCAAATGGGAGAAGAAATTACAACGTTGAAATTGAATTTTCATCAATAATGTGAAAGTTATATAATGTGAAAGAATAGTGTTAGGTAGATCTCCTTGTACTAAGAAGACTTATTATATTAATATTAATATTAATGTAAGTAATTTACTTATATTCAATGACAAATGACAGTTATAAATATTGTTCACGTAACTTAATGGAAACTGTTTTGTAAGTACAGAAGCAACAATAAACTGCAACACGGTTATTTGTGCCCATAATACCAATTGTCATTATCTGATTTAACAATAATTGTTTTAATCTGTAATTTTGCATCAATATTTTACTATAATTAAATAATTTCGGATGATTTCTCCCTTTTAATCTCCCGTCCAGTACAATAAATTCAACACAAATCTGAGACATATTACTAATTCGAGACTTAAAAAAAGTCTAATCATACCACTAATCATAAATTATTATCTCCAAGACTTTAAGATATTGGCACGATTGAGCTTGAAAATTAAGTCCGCATTCAAAACCCAAAAGTCTAAAAATCGCAATGACGCTTATACTTTTTATAAAAAAGTTTATTGATTTGAAATTACGATTTATTAAAATTCACGTCAAAAAATGTACTTTTATCTATTAAATATTATAGCGAATAATAAAGCGACGTCACTAAACGTGACTTCTTGTCTCACCTTTATTTGAACTAACTAATTGTCAATCCACATCAAAAGGAAAACTAGGTTTACAAATGGTTGTAGTATAAAGATGAAACATGGAAGTAAAAGGTACGCAAATAAATTGATAATCTTTCATTGACATAGGCTACTAAATAAATTAGACTCCGGTTATTCATATGGATCAATCCGGATTAATATACTTTTCTAAATCATTGTATCGCTTTACAACATTATAAAAAAAAAAGAATAAACATCGATAATCTTTTTCCATCAAACCAAAAATTGAAACTCCTTCTTGTATCTCATTTAAGTGAAGTTCTTGGAAATAGATTCTTGCAGATGATATCTTTTAAAATTTAAAATGGTAATTGTTAGTAATTTATTTCTTTTTTAAGTATGGCTAGACATTTTCTTTTAATTTTTATTAGGATACTAAAATTAGAACAAAGGAAGTAGTTCATAATTAATTTAAGTGATTATTTTCTAATATTGGATGTGGTCCATAGGTACACCGACCCGGTCAACACGGCAATTAATGGGCCCATTTTACTGGAGGCTGCTAATACTGTTGCCCTGTCCCACAAGGACAATTGACTCACTAATTTGTTTAAGATGGCCAACGTGCACAAATATTCGATTTTGAGATTATCATTTAAATTATATTTATAGTACGTAATAATTTACAAGTTTATTTATTTTAAAATAATATTACGTGGAATCTGAAGTTAAACTTGATAAAGCTTAAGTTCCAGACAAAATGTTTGAAATTTAAAATGACTTGAAGTTTAGGCACATGTAGTCATTGTCTGAACTTTAGCATATGTGATTGTATTTAATCATTTTTGCTTGAAAGTTCATGAACCATTTTTGTTTGAGTTTCACTCCTATATAACTTTAGATATTGCGTCGGAAGTTAAGTTTGATAAACCTTAATTCAAATACCAGATGTTTGAAGTTGTACCAAAGTTGATAGTTGTGTAAAAAAACTAAAAAGAAATGATTGGTACAAGTTAAATTGTAGTGTTCAAAAATATCTAAATCTATACGTCCAAGATTTGCTTTGGGACCTAATTGATTCAAATTCGCATTGGAAGGTTCACTTTGAGGACAACCATTTCCTATCAAAGACGACTAGATATATTCACAATATTTGAATCTATATTCTCTGATTTAAGATGGAGGAATACTTATCACTCCACCACAAATTTTACGAGATGGAAGGAAACATTAATATGCACCATGGAATTGTAAGTACTAGATTATAGGTTAAATTCATCTTCCTAAGATTAAAAATCTACATAACTTTGTATTTGGTCGACAATATACATTCAATTATACAAAAAATAATTATATATTACTTTATGCGAGATAGAACATAAAATAAAATATCAAACTACATAATTACTCTTAAAATATGCGATATTTCATGTACTTTTACTCATCACATAATTAAAGGATATATATATATATATAATATTATAGACTATTGTAATAATTGTCATTTTAGACCAATGGATATATATATATATATATATATATATATATAATATTATAGACTATAGTAATAATTGTCATTTTAGACCAATGGATAAATTAACTTATCGTATATTGGCATACCATGACTTTTCTTTCACTATATATTTGACATATATTAGGGACTTAAAAAGTTCAAATTGGATACGAAAGTCTATAAAAGTCATCCTAATAAAGACTCAAAATGGTAGGTTCATTATTTTGTATTCCACTGATGAAGTGAAAAATTGTACTATAGGAGATAAGAAATGATTTTCCCCACCAAATACATCAATTATTTACGCACATAAATCTTTGCATCGAAAAATTTCACGATATATTTTGAATTCTCCTAATAAAAATCTTGATTTTTTATGATAAATTTAACCCGACTTATTTCGTAGTCAACACTAAAAAATTTTCTAACTCACTTCAATTATCTGATTATAGTGTTTTACAAGTGTATTAACACTTAAATCCTTCTGGAAGACTAAATAAAAAATATCTATACCTCAAAATATCCCATATATAAATAGGGAAATGCTTAAATTTGCCATGTATTACTAGGCATACAAGAAATACTTTGTCTCGTATTTGCCCTTATTTTTATTAACTTAACTATAAGCTCCCACGTAAAATAATGACGAAGGAACTGATCGTCGATATGAACTCGATAAGCATAGTGTTCATGAGAACGAACCAGCATACGTTGGTAACATGGAAACGGTCAAGAAATTTCATAATACAAGTATTACAAGAAGCTTATGTACAAGACATATTTTTCAAGAAGCAGCACTAAACAACTAGTACTACTGCTAAGATTACATAACTTGTGACATAAACAAACAGTGGCTTTCTTCTCATTTATAATGGGGATAGATCCTGTTCTATTTACCAAAGCAAGTTGTATTATACGAAGTATGCACATAGCCAACAGTACCTTTGATGTTTGTGAAGACCCATGGAACTTCTCTTCGACCAGGTTTCAACATTGCTCTGGGCCCTTCAAAAGGACATGTCTTTGATGGAGCTTAATTGTTCTTAGAAACTTTCGTAAGAAAATCTTGAATCTAGGATATCCAACTGTCTTTTTATCCATGGTGGATCATCTGTCCTGAGCCAGAGAACTTCACCAGTATCTCTGTTCTTAAAGTCTGGGTATTTAGGATTGATTTTACTCTTCCTGAAGTCCATCCATTCAAAAGGGCTAGCTAAGAAAATTTGCCACAATTGGATCCGGTTCCTGTAGTTCTCCAATTCATCTTCACCTGAGAAAGCCAGAAATGAGTTAACGAGTTCGAAGAAGCATATATATGTAGGATCAACAAATTTCAATACCCAACATGCACAGTCCTGCACCATCAATCACTCTAAAGCTTGATTGATTGGATTACTGGGCAACCAAGCATTTTGGTTTAGTGCTAAAAAAAGTGTCAAATGATTCAAAACATCATCCAAAGCAGCAAATTGTTGGAGGATTTTCCGAGCAAGTTCATAATTCAGTTCATGTCTCAATATCCCATTAGTTCCAATAATCAACCAAATGTAATGGTCATAGGGGGCAAGAGAACTATAAAAAACAGGATCACCAAAACCTGGATTATGTGAGCATTTTATAAAGTCTCTTTAGTTGTTTATTCTTTCTGTTGTCAGGACAGAAATTCCCACCCCATCCATTTTAACTCGAAGAATTGAAAGGTGGAAGTGACAACGAGTATCTCACAATAAGGTGTATTTTCCTATACTAAGTAAAATCATACTTTTAGATTTTAAAATTAGGCTATAGTGAATGTGTCAAAAGTTAATATTTGATTTATATTACTTCTGAAGCTTCGTTTTAGAAATTTAGAAGTTATCCTCCTACTGTCTGCTACTTTTCAATTATTCAGACATGCTGCATGTACAATGCTCTATTTAGGCCCATTGCACTCCGATATAGAAAATGTCTGCCAATTGGTTACAATCTATGAACATCATAACTAATAAAAAATGCTAGGAAAGGCCACATGTACCTCTTGATTCTTTCTTCTGAAATTCTGGGGTTGCTAAGGCTTGAACATCTGGAGTCACGAAATTTATTTCCTTCACATCTACCTTCACAAAAGAATCAGTACATGAAAACATGAAATGAAAACATTTTTGTGCAGCACAAGCTACATAAAAATATGGAAAAAGAAAAAGCATTTTGTTCAGCACAGGATCTCAAATT